TTCAATTCATTTTACATTAATACACTCTTAATTAATTTTTTTTTATGAAAATATAAAAAAAACGCTTAAAATGAGAAAATATGACAGACTAAATTAATAAAACAATATTCAATTTTCATTTATGAGAGGTTTAAAGAGAAAATTAGCTTCCTAACTGAGCACGTGTTCAACGTAACTTTTTTAATAATCTTCTAAAGTGGATTTTTATGAGAATATCGGGCCCCCCTCACCTCCTACCCCCTTCCTTATGGCTACCTCATTTATATTGCTTTCATATCCCAGACGGATAGGGAATGAATTAAATTCATTTTAAAATGTAGCGACCATATGGCACATTCATTGTTTAGAAGAAAAAAAATAAATGAAGGAAGAAACCTTATTGAAAATTCAATTGAATCAATGAGTTCAAATTGAAATCAATTAAATTTTAAATACATACCAAAACTGCCTCCAAAAATATTCTGTTTGAGTCATATTTATGAGTTCAAGGCGGAAATATAAAATAAAATCAGGTTTTATTCAAGTCAAATAGCACTACTAATAATATATAGTGTTAATGAATATCATTAGATACGGTAAAGGTAATATCGAAATCGTTCAAACAGGTAACTTTTGTCCAATTGGTTGTAAGATGTTATATGTTGGGTTCGTCACCAATTCAATAAACATGTTTTGTACATAGTTAGCAAATAATGTTTAATAGAAAGGAAATGTAAAATAAGAAAAGGATGTGCTGCTTCTTAAATAACTTTTATCCGAGCAGATGATGTGATTATCACACGTTTAACTGTTCAACAATTCACAATGAAAGGCAAAATACCATATTTTTTATGTTGGGAAGGCTTAATCTTATAATCTTTAAAATAAAATATATTGTAATAATTGGATAAGAATCATGTCAAATCTGAAGAATATATACATATCATGTCAGATATACATATTATCTTAAATTTATAAAAATTTAAAAGGCCGACTAGAGCAAAACTCCATTACACAATGTGGAATTAAGTGTAGTGAAAACCTAAAAGAAATCTTTTTCAAAAACTTATTTTTTTTTTTTCTAAAAAAAAAGATGGGATGTTTTACGTTAGGTCATCTTTTTTTTTGTGACTATATTTTATCATTGTATCTTATATCAGGTTGTTGGGCAAGGGCGGTGCTGTGCACACACGTTAGCCCGTTCGGCCACACCGCCCACCACGGTAGGTGATCTATTGTTTCCTTTACTTTCGTTGAATTGAAAATATTCTAGATCTGAGGTGTTTATCTCCCTCAAGATCGATGGCGCATGACCCTCCCCCCCTACTCCTAAGATATTTTATTTCTTATTCTTTTTTTAAAAACAGTACAAACTAAAGTAAAATTTTAAATATCAAAGGCCGTATACAATTACACTTTCAGTGATCTGCACTCTGCTTTTCTCTTGTCCTCTGGTTTAAAACGTTTCAGTCCGAAAATTCATAACTCCCTTCGAAATGTGCCCCTTCAAATATTCAAAACTCCTTCAAAATGTAACCCCCTCGAAAATTTGCGTAACTTGCGTCATGAAATCCCCTTGTGGATACCCCTGTTCTAGATTATCTTTATTTGCTGTACTTGCTTATTGAAATTTGGTTTTTAAATTACTATATCTGATGTTACACCTTAGTTTATACTTGCTCTTTAAGCTGACGGGATTTGCCCTTATAGGAATACAAGGTCATAATCAAACGACTCTAAAATTCATAAGGAAGAAGACTAAGCTGATAACGGGAGGGGGAAACGGAAAGGGCAGTAATAATAAAGTAGCTAGCCGGCGGAAGGTGGTAGCTCCCTGGAGTCCTGGAGTGCGGCCTCTGGAGGGAGAGAGTTATTATAATTGGTTAGGGTGGGCTGTAGATCAGGGCCCGCGGGAGCACTCTCCCACCTGCTGCTCCTCTCGGTCGATAGGCAACAGCAACAGCACCAGTACCAGTACCAGCCCTCTAATCCTAACCCAGCTCCGGCCCTATCCCAAGTCCACGCTCTCTAGAGTGCGCCGTAATCCCTCTATAATGGTTGCTAATCGGTAGTCAGTAGTTAAGAGTTAAAACTGATTTTGACCTTTAGCTGAGAAATCTAACAAAACAATCGAGTATGGAGAATGAATTTTATTTATAAAATTTTATTTTATTTATTTATATTTTATGTAATTTGCACCTACGCGGCTGCGCATCTAGCAAATTGGTTCTGTTTGTATTGCCTTTGTGTATTGGATGTAGGATTTTACTGTTGGGATGTTTAAGTCGTTATGTATAGTAGTATTTGAAATGTACCGAGGTGCGTTAACAAGTTTTCGTAAAATTTTTGATTGAGCTGTTTGTATTTTGTTTGTTTGTGTTTGTTTTGCTGAACAAACAACCCAAAGTTTTGCTCCATATGTCCATATTGGTCTCAGTAAGGTGTTGTAGGTCAGTCGCTTGTTTCGTAAGTTAAGTGAAGATCTGTAGTATAGAAGATGTGAATGTTGGCTATATCGTCTAGTAATTTCTTGTCTTTTTAATTTCGTATGTATGTTCCAAGTAAGTCTTTTGTCTAAGTAGAGTCCAAAGTACCGTACATAGTTCTTTGAAGGCACTGGATTATTGGCAATCGTTATGGGTGGACATGAGGTTTTCCTAAGAGAGAAACTAACGTGGTTAGATTTTTTACTATTAATTTTGATTCTCCAGTTTTCAAACCACTTTTCAAGATCATGAAGATGGTTTTGTAGGACAATTGACGCGATAGTAGGATTTTTGTGTGAAGTTAGAATAGCAGTGTCGCCAGCGAAGCAATAATTGGTGGTATTAGGGTGCTCAGGGATATCAGAAGTGTATATAGAATAGAGGATTGGACTTAAGATGCTACCTTGTGGTACGCCTTTGTGTTGAGGAAAGAAGGAAGAATCTGCGGAAGTACAGAAAAATCTATTAAGAAAGTAGGATTGAAGAATAAAAAAATAAGTGGAAGGTAAGTGTGGTTTATTTATAATTTATAACTATTTATAAAAGAGTTTTTTTCTAGTGATAAATATACAGAAACTAAATCAGATTACATTTGTATCCACTGGTTTATTTACCATAATAATTTCTTTATTGGTACAGTCTCCTATTTCCAAATCAATCATTGAGGAAGCCAGAAAAATAGAAGATTGGAGGCCAAAAGATAGTAAAGTCGATATTTATTCTCAATGGGCCTATAAGCTATATGCTAACACGTAAACAGGACAATTATAAAAATTACCGTAAAATGGAGTCTACTATAGAATGACAAGCAGGTGACCTTCAGGAAGGTTTCTTCCTATCACGCATCCAATATTTACCTTATTGGACCTTTTTAATTATAGACAAATACTCGCAAAAAAAACTTTCGGACAGTACCAGTACATCATTTAATATCTACATGACCGTTAATAAATATTTCGAATTGAGCGTTATGGATACGATGCCATTAGTTATAGAAAAATTTACTTACTTATAGATAATTTATAGACAATCTAACATACCAACGTATGCAGGGGTACCCCAGAAAGACATAGGCTTGAGCACGCGATGCTATCCTAAATTTGAATTATGGGAAGAAATTTTTTCACAAGAAATTAGTCTGGGGTGCGGTAAAAAAAATACTGGATTTTATAATAGTATACTTTGTTGTATTGTCCAACGTTTCGACCTACCTTGTAGTTCATTCAGTCAGACATTTTTTAAGGCTATATGCAGACTCGGTAAAGGCTATGAGTCGACTCAGGAGTCGACATATAGCTTTCAACAATGCCTGACTGAATGCACCGAGGAATACCTACAACGTATGTCGAAACTACAACAAAATATACTATTATAAAATACAGTATTTTTTTTTACCGCACACCCGACTAATTTCTTGTGAAATTGAATCCACGGTCAACCATCTCTATATCAAACTGTTTGTGTGATTTCAATATGGAAGAACATTTAAACCAGAAAATATTTAATAGTGATCAGAAGTTACAAGATCTACATTTTGTCTCATTCTAATTTCGCTTGCACTGTTTTTAAGATGAGTAGTGCAATAAAATTTCTTGAAAGGATTGAAAGAGCACCCCAGACAGAACAAGACCCACACAAAATTAGATGGATTCCATTCATGATGAAAACTACGTTTAAAAGGCACGAGACTAAACCAGTTTGTGTGGAAATATTCTTTCGGATACAAGTATCGGTATAAAGCAGACCGCAGTACAGACCCATTTTTATCAAATTATCAACATTCATATGAAACTTTTTTATCAACGAAAATTCTCAGTAACTGAGTGTTTTCCATTGATAACATATCAACATAACAAGGTTATATAGACTCAATATTTTTGTGGACAACCATTTTTTCTCGATTTTTTGACCTATTATTTAAAGATTCAAGTGGAAAGGTAATGGGTTTTTTAAAGGTTTTAAGTACCTCGTTAAAATTAGCATGTTCACTGATAAAAAAGTTGTAGTTTACGACAACATGAAGGTATTTACGAGGTTTTAGAGGAATTTTATTAAATTTGAAAAATTAGGATCTAAGAATATTAGGATAAAAATTAGGATATAAAATTAGGATAATACGACTGCAAATATGTACATAAATTATTAGTTCGTTCTTCATTATTTTTACTCCAATTTTTTTTTCCACCCTATTTTTTTTATTATCAACTGATCAAAATTGGAAAACAACTTATATGTATATGTGTGTATATATATATATATATATATATATATATATATATATATATATTTTTTTTTTCCACCAAGACTGTTTAATTACTCTGTAATTTTATTTATGTATCTCTGAGGCTCCTTAGCCCACATTTCTGTTTTCCTGTATTTTTCTAAAGGGGCTCGTCCCAGAATAAATAAAGTATTATTATTATTATACCGCGGACTATAATGGATTTTTTTCTGCAATGAAATGTTGGGTTAGAATACCTCTATTGTAATGGAATTTAGTTAACTAAATAAAAATAATAATAAAGATATACTCACGGGAGTTGATGAAGGGGTACTTCTTGATGAAGTGGGCGTGGTGGACGGGACAGGCGGGGAAGGGGGGCACCTTCTCCTCGTCCTCGGGCGATCTCTCGCTGGCATAGCCGAGGTCCTTGGGCTCGTTGTTGTTGTCGTTCGGGAGGTCGAGGTGGTTGGGGAGCGAGCCGCACAGCTTGTACTTGTCCTGCAGCTTGCTAGCGCTGCTCAGGTTGCCAGAGCTCTGCGACCGCCGCTTGCTCAGGTTGCTGCCCATCTCCTCATGGCCCCGTCCGGCCCCTACCAACACCACAAGTACACGTTAGTTTGCAACCTATTGCACAAATCGCTACAACTAACAAGTACACCATATTAAGATAATTCTATCTCTACTTAAGGCTCTGGTAGTTTCAAAATATTTTGGAATTCTATATGTATATTTAATAATACAGGGTGAGTCAGGAGGAACAAGCCAAACTCCAAGCGTGCAAACCGAAAAAAAAAAAAAAAACTCATATGTTCTTTTCCAATTTTCATTTATTTAAAAATTATTAGCTAATTACAAATAAAGAAAATTTCATAAATAAACAATATTTCATACATTATAATATAAGCTCTATCTACTGCCACAAATCCATATAATCCGCCCAGAAGACTGCTGAGGCGCTGGCCATGAGACTTATTGTATTGAGCTACTTGCTGCATTATCTTTTTTTGTGTGTGAGTGTTATTATGTGTTGTTTTACTAGTGTTTTTATTTTGTCTTTTTGTTTTGTTATTACTATTCTTTTTTTTTTATGCTATCACTTCTTCAATCCTTGATAACATATTTGCTGAATACCAAGGTAGATGGCAAATTTATTGTGAGTCAGAAATATGTATAACTAATAAATAAAAATAATATTAGGATATTCTTTTATTATTTTTTTGTAAAATTATTTTTCTGTGTACAGCTCACTGAAATTAGGCCTGTTCAATCACCCTGTATGTATTTAGTATTTTTTTTTCCTTTTAACATTAATTAGTCCACCTTGACAAACGACTAACTTGGAACCCCCATACCAGACTGAAACTACAAGAAACCGCCCGACGTTTCCGACTACTCCAGCACTTACTAGACAAACGCTCTAAGCTTTCAATCAATTACAAATGACTTATATATATGACAATAATAAGACCTGTTTGGATTTACGGAATTGAGCTTTGGGGCTCCACTAAACCATCGAATTCCTCTCGTATTCAATCCCTTCAATCCAAAATCCTTCGTAAAATCCTTAATGCTCCCTACTTTGTCACAAATAAAATCATCCATAATGACCTTAATGTACCATATGTTTCCGATTTAGCTCAATCCAGATACCTGTCCTTTCATAATAAACTTCAGAACCATCCGAACCTTCTCGTTTCCCACCTTGCTTCCTCTTCTATTCCTGATAACCCTCCGAGGCGTCTGAAAAGAAGATGGCCTCGGGATCTTCTAATATAGAAATATAATTGGAGTGCTACCAATGGCTAGTTTCTCTTCATGTTGTACATGTCATATTACTTGTTCATATTTACTTGTTGTATTAATTATTAATTACAGTTGTAAATTACGTTAAAAACATTAATTAGCACTATTATTTTGTTATAGCTAGTTGAAAAAAAGAAAATTTCATAATAAACAATATTCCATACATTATTACTGAAATACCAGGACTATTAAAAGACGTTCCTTTTAACATCAGATTAAAAATACACTTTCAGCTTGATAGAACTCCCGCTCATTTCGCTTGTGTGGCAACATTTGGATGAAAGTTTTCCAGATCGTTGGATTGGTCATGGTTGTCCAAATAGTTGGTCTCCAACATTTACAGATCTCACAGAACTGTATAATTACTTATAAGGCTAGAGATGCGTTATATAAAATAAAAATAGACACTCGGGATGTACTAATCCAATATAACGCTACAGGCGTTATTAAAGGAAGATAGGAAATAATCAGGTGGATAAATGTTGCCTTTCAGAGACGAAGCCGAAAATGTTTAGAAGTAAATGGTGTTTTTTTCGAACATTTAATAAAAGAAGACTTCAGTAACCGATATACTAGTAAATGTAATATTTTTGTGATATAATATTATTCGTCATTAACTAATAAAATTCAAACAAATGAAAAATGTGTTTTTTAAAAATTATTTTCCTGGGTGAAACTCACTGAAATCTGGCCCGTACAATAAATAAATAAATTATTTGCGCCTGTTTGTAATTGTTGATTGTTGGTAATCAGCAAATTAGTTGAATATTTCAGGAAATAATGACATGTCAGTCATGGGGAAGAAGGGTTGACCACTAGCACATCTTCCTTAGTTTGATTCAATCACTTCAGTATTAAAAGAGGATCTCTTAGCCAATACCTGTTTAGCCCACTCCTCGTATCGAGGGTATATCATATTTAGCCAAACAAGTAAGTGATGTAAAGTTTGTGAGGCCAGTGAGAATTATATTAGCGAAAGTAGCAGTCAATGTCTCATTGTTAACTGGTATGTCTAAGGCTATAAACGATAACTTAGGGAAGGCAGTATTGAATCTTGAGGAGTTCCTAACAAGATTGTAAGATACGTGTATGATAATGTTGAAATCGAAATTGAGTAAACTATAAAAAGAGTGAAGTGAGCATCTTTAAATATTATCAATTATTTTTCTAGATAGAATTTATGAAGACTTAGGCATACTTTGAAAAATAAAATCCACATAATTAACTATTTTTCTAGGTTTTTAGATATCGTTTTCTGATTTGAAGCTGATATGAACATTTTAACTGTTTTTAACACTTCATAAGGAATATATCATCCGTAAATTGTCGCAGACACAAATGCTTGTAAGCAGAGACAGGGTATATCCTGACCTTGGAGGTAATATAGGCGTTCTTGGAGTTTGGGAACAACAGGTGTCTCTAATCTCAACTTCGTTCCGAGGCATGCAACTTTCTCAAACTCTTATTATATACAGCTGTCTAAATAATAATATGTTGTATAACAAGCAGATAATGTCCTAACTGATAACTTCATCGACTCCAATACGCGAGTCCATTATATAAGGCAGATATAACACTCGTATAATTTAAACAACCACAAACAGTTACCAAACTTATATTAACATTAGGTATTTCAATATCCCAATACACATTTGTAGATATTTATTTTATTTGTTACAAATAAAATGTCTAAACAGACTGTTTAACAGTAAAGATGACAAACGTTCAACAATTTTAACTATTGCGTATAATTCAAGCCTTTCGTCCAAATCACAACCAGCAGATATCCTAATATTACAAGATGATTTGAAAGAAATAACAGGAAAAAAAGAAATACTTGCTGAATATTATATCAGGAAGGATCAGTATAGTTAAATAAACCTTGGGGAATCAATTAAAGTACTAGTATTTTGGGCCAGTAATAGAAGGAACATTCCAGATGAGAGGAAAAAAAGAGTAAAGTTGAACAATTATACAGTAAGTCCTTCTGTTGCTTTATCTTAAATAAAATAAAATTATAGTAAATATAATACAATTAACCAAACTTAAGTGAAAAAGAGATATTATGCAATTGAAACCTTTAGTCACAATATTTAAAAATATTTAGTTTCTAATTGTAACTATTATCCTTTATTGTGACACAATGTTATACTACTCATTAGAACAATTTCAAATGAAATTTGTTTATTAATAGCATTATAAAACTCAAATACCTTGGATCCATAATAATCTCAATGAATAACCAACGGTCAATAATATATTAAAATATAATAATATATTAAAATCCCCCCAAAAAATCTCAAATTAAGGATGTAGAATCCTATTATAAAACTATTTCTAATATATGGCTGTGAGATCTGGACACATTCTAGAAAAGAATATTGAAAGATTTGAGAGAAAAATACACCCACCATAACCGGAGCGATCAGAGCACTATCACATGGAGAAGAAAAATCAATAAAGCACTGCTTACAGAAGTTGGGCAATCGATATAACATGATATGTAGGCGCGGATGTTAAGATGAGCCGATCATATAGTTCGTAGTCTACCCGTCTGAAAACAGCTACGTAACAATGAATGCCTCAATAGAAGTCAAAAGATATGCAAGGCCAAACATCAGATGGATAGATAGGATCAACAAAGTTACAATAGAGTTGAGTGCAGATAACTGGAAAGAAATAGGCCGAGATGGGCAGAGATGGGGCAGTCTTGTTTAGGCGGCAAAAGTTCTACAAGATCTGGAATGCCAACAGAAAAAAATTGATAGCATAATAGCTCATCTCTTGATCTGGTGATTTAGCACACGAAGTTAGATTTTGCTTGAAACTGTTTGAAATATTTCGAAACTGAAGGTACTATAATTTTGAACTCATATTAAAAAATTAATACTATTTAATCAAAAGATAGCCAACAACGTTGAAAATGTATTACGTTTTTTAATCAATTTAATCTTTAATATTATAGGATTTTTTTAATCAATTTAATTTTTAATTTTATAATTTTGATTAAGTAGTTATATAATTTCCACGTGACTTAAAAAAATTATGAAACGTTTCGGGGTCTAGACCCCATCACCAGCCTTCCTCGTCCGTTTATAAAGAGAGAAAGGACTGCTAAATATAGCTAGATAATCCTATATAATTATTGAAAACAAGTGTATTTAAGATGTAATTATGTCTGTACAATCTGTACTGGGAGATCAATATTATGTAATATAAACTATAAATAATAGCCTATTGTAAAGAGGATGAAATGCTCAACATTTTCCGAGCTTCTAGTATACAAATCAAATTTTAGTTTCTGAGTCATTTTATTCCATATCTTGCATAAAACTCGTTATACGAGTAATTCGGTTTTTGACACACTTTTTTCCATTTTCTCTAACACGGTGTTGATACACAATTTTGAATAGTACCTCAATATAAAGATGATGAAATGATGAACATTTCGCTTGCTAATAATATGCAGATTCGATTTTTATTTTTTGATATATTTTAATCCATATGCAAGAACACTTCAATTACTAGACTCCAGCCGACTTTACCCGAGCGTTACATATTGAAGATCTGACGGCATAATCTAATTCATAATCTCCACAAAAAAAGTGCAAAAAGCGCCTAAAGAAGTTCTCACTTCAAATAAGATTATAGAAAACGAGAGATCCAATTCCTCTTAAGGAAATGTAACATTCATATCTACTTAAATACCACGGAGAATTGTTAGCGAAATTGACATCTATTTAATATTTAAAATTGGTGTATTTGTTGGACGCCTTCCACTTCCGTATAAGACTACT